CAACAACAACAACAACAACAACAACAATAAGCAGCTGGGATGAATACAAACAAAAATGAAATAAAAGTAACCTAACAACTTTTTACAACCTTTAAAAAAAAAAAAAAGTAAGGAGTAGAAAGTACAGATAATTGTGTGAAAATGTAAGAAGTAGAAGTAAAAAGTAGGCTGAAAAATAATTACTCAAGTAAAGTACAGATACCCAAAAATTCTATTTAAGTACAGTAAAGAAGTATTTGTACTTAGTTACTTTACAACTCTGGTAGTTTCCAGTTTGTATAATATTGTGTTTTTTTAGGGTCAGTGTCAGGCGTGCATTTGAGGGAATTGTGGGGGGAATAATCCCAAACATGGGACAAAGCTAAGCCGGCTCATTCATAGAGAAGTGAAGGAGGCCTTAAAGCACGTGAACACCTCCTGATATGAGGAGCACAGCACAGGCTGGCATTTCTCATATATGGTAAATGGTACTGAACTTATAGAGTGCTTTTCAAGTCCCTCCGGACCCCAAAGGGCTTTACACTAACAGACATTCACCCATTCACACTCACATTCATACACTGATGATGGCAAACTACACTGTAGCCACAGCTGCCCTGGGGCACACTGACAGAAGTGAGGCTGCCATGCACCGGCACCACCGGACCCTCTGACCACCATCAGTAGGCAAGGTGGGTGAAGTGTCTTGCCCAAGGACACAACGACTGAGACGGCTGGACGGGGGATCGAGCCAGCGACCTTCCGGTTCCAGGACGACTCCCCTAACCACTCCGCCACAAATATATTCACCTAAATATCACCATTAAAGTGACCAAAGATTGTGATTTGAAAATGTTAACTGTTCATATTTTGTGCGTAATTGCTAGGCTAGTTTGGAGAAATTAGGTTAAAATTTGGAAAGTGAAGCATGCGATTACTCGCCTCGTTTATCATTGAGCTCGTCTCTTCTGAGGCTGGGCCGTAAGCAGGTGATTCTTTTATAACACAAACAAACCAACAGGACAGGGTCATGTACTTCCATTAAAAACACGTAAGCCGTTTCTGTTTAGTGTAAACAAAAAATGTAAACTTTTCTCTGAAGACTGGAAGTGAAGTCCTAAATATGCCGTTTTTTAAAAAAATACCAGGATCAGCCTCTGTTGATTCTGTTATTTGTTTGTAGCTTGGCTTTAAAAACAGTGCCAATTTCCCCCAAAACTACGAGGACTGTTGTCTCTAATTAAATTATTATTTTTTCTTTTCTGTGAAAGTCCATCTTGTTGGACGAGCTCCTGGTTGTGAGTGGTGCAGCAGGAACATCTTGTTTCTGAAGCCGGTTCAAAGATGATTCCAGCAGCCAACACCCTGTTAGCTCCATGCGCTCCACAGACATGCAGCCCTGCAGCGACACTATCTGCTTACATAACAGCCTTATCTTATAAACTTGTTACGGTCATTACTCGGCACACAGGGGGCCTGAGTTGTTGAAGGGAGCGACTGTGAGCCGTGCTCTGAGACTTCATTCACTCAAACTATATGATGCAACTGGAGGTTTTAGGAGCTAACAGATTGCACAAGATCTTCATTTAAAATGTTAGCAGTAAGTTATGTCTGTTAGCAAAATATCTCAGAAAAAGCTGAATGCATTTGAATGTAACCTTCTGAATTTAATCACTGTATGCATGTCTACAACTGATTAACTTTTGGAGTGAACTCGATTTAAGATGGCGATGAGAGCCAAATGACCTTAGAAAACACAAAAATGTCTGTCATTCAGCAAATTTTACAGATATTGAGCTAATATTTGGCGTGTCAACAGCTGGGAGTCATTCTCACAAAGCATTCTCCAAATGCTACTCATTGCTTAAGAGCTTTACTTAATATTTCAGCATTAACTTTGGCGTCCACCCTGTTTGTCTGTTAACAAAGTATTTCATGAACTAGTGAACAGATTTTAATAAAACTGGTGGAAATTAACTGTTGGATATACAAATTAGAGTTGATAAAGTTTTGGCATCAATCCAAGACAAGATGGCTGCCACAGTTAATTAATATCAACCAACATGTAAATAGCTATGCCTCATTAAAATGTACAGGCAGTGAACTAAAATTTCACGTGATGGTAGCTGAGAGTTATACTCATCAGATACACTATCATCAATTAATGTTATTTTTCAGGATTTGCCAAAACTTAATCCATTGAGCTCTTATTGTTTTGATGCTCTCTTACAACGCTACAATGCTTGACTGAATAGAAATAATTAAAATAACCAAGAGCTTTCATAATAAATAAATGCTCGTAGAAGCACTTTTCTCAGCACCCTGCTGGTTGAAAGGAGCAGAATAAATCACTGCCCCCCCACCCCCCACCCCAGTTTGTGTTAATAATCTGATGAAAGGAACGGTGAGAACTATAAAGACGCCGTGTCGTCTGGCCTTTCAGCGGCTTCACCTGTATGCCTAAATATTTTAGCAGCTGCTATCGCTTTAATGGACCCCGTTTGTCTCTCGGGTTACTATGGTCACTGTAAATTTCCAACCTCAGAGCATCTCCCTGAGCTAAAACCATCTTCCCTATTAAATTTGAAGCCACTAATATTGCATAAAGCTGCTAAAAACTGGATTGATTGATTGAAAGCAACCGTAGTTCAGAGCTTTTTAAAAGTGGAGTTCTGTGGATAATAAGGTTGTGAACAGGTAATTGCTCAAACCCTTTCTGTGTCGCCCCACTTTTCAAAAGATATTTAGTGCATTTTGGACAAAAAAAACACAATGCAGTTTTGTTTGATTGTCTTGTCCACTTTAAATGCAGCAAATTGACAAGGCAGGCTTAGACTAATATCTTTAGCTAATGATGAGACAGGTGATGAAGTGGTTGTGTTAGCTTCTAGTTACTGGTGCCTTTGTAGACCATCAATATATCTTCTCACTGAGGGCCACATGAGCGTAAGGGTGGCCCTCAAAGGGCCAGTTGAAATTAACCTTGAAATTTCTTGTTTAACTTCAACTAAACACTAATGATGTGTTCCAGGTCCAGTGGAACTCGAAATTGTATAATTGGACTGACGTCAGTTCAGAGTTGAAGCGTTCCAATTTTCAGCTTATCACAGTCGGTGAAAAGCTTTTTTTACTTGCTCTGATGGAATAATACAACAGTAACAACAATAGTGCGCCACACAGTGTTGTACAACATGTAAACAGTGTTAAACCATATCGCCTAATAATCGCAGTAAAGTACTACAAATATGACTGACTAAAAGCCATACAAGTAAAGAGTTTCACTCTCTGTTGATGTGAGAAGGAACCGTTTTTAATGATGATTTGATGATGTCACACATGTTCACGCAACACGTTCTCACTCCCGACTCGTCAACATATTGACGATTGGTCAGGTACTGTCTGCGTCCAGTTTTGACGCGTCAGGTATCCCCCTCATGCCAGTCACTGCCGCCTGCAGTTTTTCTGGGTTGCGCTACTTAGAGGTCTTTGGGTTGGGGGTCTGTGGTTAATATGAGGGATCTGGATTAATGGTTAATTTTAGGTACTGAGGTCAGGGATAGGCTGCATAGGGCTTGTAGAAGTTAAATTTAGGGTCTGGGACAGGGATGTCCTGATCCAGATTTTTTAAACTCCAGATACAATCCGATTTTTTTAATGATTAGTCTTTACAATACCGATCCAATATGATCTGATAGCTTTATTTCTTTGTTTCTTTCCAAGTGACAAGGTTGGTAGTATTAAAGCGAGCCCTGCTGTTCCCACCACGAGAAACATCCAGTTTGCAGATTTAGCAAGATGCAGTTTCAGCATCCTTGTTTTCCATTGAAAAGTGTTCCCACACTGTGGACATGGTTRCAWACTTGTGTGCGTCTTGACTTCTTAACGGCAGTTGTAAAGCACGATGATGCTGAAAACTGTTGCGAAAACTGGATTGGCCCGATCACGACTAAATCTGATTCTACCCGATTTTCAAAAAGTGGCCATGTCTGCCACCGGTACTGAGTATCTCATCGAGACACCCCTAGTCTGGGACGGTTAGTTGTCGCACATTTCCTATTCTTTTCAAAAATATGACAGTGTGCTCCTCCTCCTCCGCCTCATCTCGTTAAGAACTGACACGAGGGGGGTACCTGACACGTCCAAATCTGGACGCAGAAGGCTACCTGACCAAGTGTCAATATGTTGACGAGTCAGGAGTGAAAATGGGTTGGCTCACTCTACCCTGGTGTGGCCATGTTGCATCGACTTTCCAA